TCCAGGAGCTCTTCCTGACCCAGAGATAGAACCCACGCCTCCTGAATTGCAGGCCGATTTTTTAACTACTGAGCCACTAGGGAAACCTCAATTATTTGGTGCCCACGTGTAAAACTCCTGAAGAATGCAGCAAATCCGTTAAAAGAAATACTAATTTGGGGTGAAAAAGTCATGACAGTCTCCAAAATATCACCCACAATAGTAGTAGTGCTCTCCTTGTCTTAAAATAAAAAAATTTTTTTTTTCTTTTCCACAAACTTAAGTTTGATTTATGGTTTCTAGCTTGATATTTGAGGTATTTACTTATTTTTACTTTTATTGCTCTTTTCTTATCAGTTGATCTTATTGGTCTTTTCCCAGCTGTATTTGCCTTGTAATGTCATGTTTTAGTATATAATCTCTGGATAAAGATACAGCATTCTTCCTCATACAAAAAATTTAAAAATATTACCTAGAAAAAACTCAGAATTTCATTAGTGATTAGTAATTAGTGAATGGTTTCCCTGTTGTTGATTTAATGTTGAATCTTTGCAAGAAATAGCAAAATTTGATAAGCCATTCTTCACCTAAATGGATCTTTAATGAATCTTATTTAAAAGTGGATTTATAATATTGCTGGTTTCTTGGATAACATGAATTTCTCCAAGTGGTATTTAGAAAATAAACTTATGACAGAATAAATTATGAATACATATGAAACCCCAAATTTGTCTTCCTTTAAGAAAACAAGCAAACAAAAAAACATTCCTGCATAGAAACTCTGTTTACCTGAAATATAGCATGCTGTTGTGGTCTCAGTTCAGAGAAAGGTAATTGACAACTTCCCCAACCCCTGCATACACACACATACACACAAATTCTGCTTATTTGAATTTAATGATTGTATTTAATTGAATTTAATGATTGACAGTAACCATGAAAAAAAAAATCTATAGAAATGAGACTACAGTTGACAGTAGTCTCATTTCTCATGAAACTTTCATGCTCCTTTTTGGCAGTATTGCAATCTTTGTTTATAAGGAGATTAATCATCTAAGTTCTCAAATTTTAGTATGGATATAACAAATGCCAATAAAATACAGATTAGGAAAGGCCATAAAATTTACTATGTAAAATAATAATGAAGGACAGAGTTATATTCAGAATAGATGAAGATGGATTGTCTTTGAAGAACTGAGGAACATCTGTTGAATCATGAAAGAAGTGGCTTTAGGACAAGTTTTAAAAAGTGATGTTTTTTTTCATTGGGGCTGGTAAATAGGTATAATTTAGATCAAGGTATAATATAAAATATAAATAGTGCTCAAAGGGGTTTGGTAAATTTGGGAATATGAGGCTCATTCTGGGTAATTAAGGGAGACCAAAGGTACTTAGCCTACAGACTTAACTTTTTAAAGTGTATGTCTTGGAAAATTGTCATGTTGTAAGTCTACATGGCAGTTGGCCCCTTCTCAGGCAGAATGTTGGGCTGGGAGGACCCTGCTCAGACCTGATAGGAACCATCTCACAAAACAGTCATTGACATGAGAGCAGATTGCCTTCCTTGTTATCCTGACGGATGTCAGGACCTTCAAAACCATGTTAAGATTTCTATCTCAAATGATAGTTAAGTGATTCACTGTGGGTGTTTCCACGCTACCAGGAGCAGGTTTTATGTGTTCTACTTCCAAGGCAGCCTTTCTCCAGACAAAATGTTGCTGAAGTGTCCATTTTGATTTCTCTCAGACTCAGCGTTTTAAATAAGCAAGACGCTAATTGAGTTGATTTAACATAGCATAAAAAGAATTATTAAAATGATGTGTTTATCTTTACATTCACCTGTTGGTTTTAGGTGAATTGGCTTACTATTTTTTAAATTTCTTTCAAGTACCTGAAACTAAATGAAAATTACAGCTATAGTATCAGAGGAAGTAGTAATAGCAATAATTTAACTTTGTATTAATTTTCCTCAAATAAACAGGTAAAATGATTGACATTACTCTTTAGGCAATATCATACATTATTTAGCAATAGTTTAAAAACCTTAATCTGTAATTGTCAAAGTTTGATTATTAAATATGTTCCTTGTTAGGATTTTTTTTTCTGTATTTATTGAACACTCACATTCTACTGTACAATTGATTTTCATGTCTGTATTCCTCTGTATGCATATACAGATGTATTGCCTTTTCACTGAACAGTTACGGACCTGTGAATTCAACTTAAAAGGAAAAATCAGTGTCTGCTTATTTGAATTTAATGATTGTATTTAATTGAATTTAATGATTGGCAGTAGCCATGAAAAAAATCTATAGAAATGAGACTGTAATTGGCAGTGAGTGGGTCACACTGGAAGTTGCATGCTCCTTTCTGGCAATGCAACAGCTGTTCTTATAAGATTAATCATCTATCTTAGTTGTTCTCAAGCTTTAGTATAGATATAAGAAATACTAGCAAAATGCAGATTCCTGGGCACTATCTTTTCAACTGTGATTCATTGTGTCTGGAGGGACACACAGGAATCCATATTTTGTACAAGCACCACTGATGGTTTTGTATCAGTGGTCTATGGTGTAGACTCAGAGATGGTCTTAGATGTTCTTTCCAAAGATGGCTCCTCTTCTCTGGAAAGTTACCTTACTCAAAGGACAAGGCAAAAGTGAGAAAAGAGAATTAATTACTCAATTTCACATTCTGGCTTTATCTTTGTTGCTTTTAAAATAAAACATTTTCTTTTTACCTTGGTCCTAAAATCTCTTATTGATCTCACGGAAAGAGCAGGACTTGGAGGAAAGTAGTAAAAATTATAAACAAAACTGGACCCACTCATGGACTGTCACACCCCTGATGGTGCATCGGGACTGTCATCCTGACACTGCTGCTAAAGGGTCATTTGTGTGAAAACATAATATTTGAGCATGTAAAAAAAAATGAGCATGTGTCTTCTACTTGAAAGAAAGTGAAAGTTAGTCACTCAGTTGTGTCTGACTTTTTCTGACCCCATGGCCTGTAGTCTACCAGCTTCTTCTGTCCATGAGAATTTCCAGGCAAAAATATTGGAGTGGGTTACCATGCCCTCCTGCAGAGGATCTTCCTGACCCAGAAATCAAATCTGTGTCTCTTATGTCTCCTGCATTGACAGGCGGGTTCTTTATCACTAGCACCACCTGGGAAGCCCTAATAGGTAGTAGGGGCAGGGTATAAACAAGGTTCCCAAGTCTTTGTTCTTTCTGCTAGTCCTTAGGTTTGTCTACCATTGACCAGTCTAATGACCAAAATTAAGTGAGGGTATGTTTGCCAGCCAAGCTGTGTGAAAGTTGGAGTAGGACCAGCACTGAGGTGCATGCAATTTTCTTTTTCAAATTCAATAAAGAAAAATAAGTTAAGGGTGCATGTTCATTCATCAATGAATGAATGGACAAACATAATGTGGGCTCTCCATACAATAGAATAATTATTGGGCATAAAAAGGAATGAAATCCTGATCCATGCTGCTGCAATATAGATGAACCTTGAGAACATGCTAAGTGAAAGCACAGGACAGTCACAAAGGCCAAGTATTATAACCTATAATTCCATTTGTAAGTAATGTACAGGGTATACAAATTTATAGAGACAGAAAGTAGATTAGTGGTTGTTGGAAGCTGAAGGAAGAAGGGAGTGGGAGGTGATTGTTAATGGTCATGGGGTTTCTTTTTGGAGTGATGAAAGTTTTGGAATTGTAAATAGTGATGGCTGCACAACCCTGTAAATATAGTAAAAACCACTGAATTGTATACTTTAAATGGATGGATTTTCCAGCATGTAAATCATATCCCCAAAGAAAAAGAGTCACATTCTGGCTATAGACAGGCTAAAAATCAGACTCGGCTGCCAGCTCTGTGACCATAGGCAGATTATCTGGACTCTCCAAACCTCAGTTTAATCTCACTTCTAAAATAGAAATGATAACAGAATGTGAGCCTTGAAGAGTTATCGGGAGAATTCAGAGAGTTAAACCATAGCAGGTTCTTAGCTCCATGCCTGGCACAGAGTGATTCCTTCATACATGTCAGTTACTACCTCTGAAGAGAAAGTTGTGTGGGAAAGAGATTTTACAAATTGGTGCAGGTTGAACAGGAAGAGTGATTGGCTGGAATCCTTAGCTGGGAAGTTATGGCTTTTCTCTTCCCATAGGCAGAGCAGAATGAGCCAGGGCTGGAGCTGCCCACATAGATCTTTGAAACCAGAACTCAATTTCCACCTTATCTAGATTGTTTTTAGGGCGCATGTCAATAACTGAGAATTATTGTGCAACAAATTCTGAATACTTAAGAAAAAATTTATGCAAAAATTTAGAAAGGTTGTTTGCACCTAAATTTGTTATAAAAATCACACATACTTTACAATTAAGTTGTTTTATTTCACATCTCTGCCCAGTCATAGACACTCTGTTTTCAAAAATTATTTTTGCATGGAACCAAATCTTAATACAAAACAAAGATCCTTTTAAAGGTAATTGAGGCTGATTCATGTCAATGTATGACAAAACCCACTGAAATGTTGTGAAGTAATTAGCCTCCAACTAATAAAAATAAATGAGAAAAAAAAATAAAGGTAATTGAAACAGTTCCTGAAGAGATTATAATTTGGATTGTTCAATACCAAAAATGTTGTTTATTGGGTTGTACTGGATTAGAACTTGAGTTAATCTTTTAAATATACCTGTTTATATGGCCAATTTATCCACTTATGAAATGAGATACAGTTTAATGATGTCTACCTTTCATTTTGGAGGTATAAGCATTTGCCCCCAAACAGGGGGATAAGGCATTACTGTATATCACTATATTAATGCCCTACCTACGAATTGCCTATTCTTCCTTTAAAATATGGAGATGTTTAAGTATTCTTGAAAGAAAAACTGTTCTTCCACCCAAATATAATTATTAGAAAGAAAAAAAAAACTGTTGATGCTTTGGTAAGTAATTTTTAGATTTGGCATGTCTGTTGTATTAATGACCGTTTGTGTTTCCTTGTAGCTTGGGGAAGGGCAGCCGCCGCCATGCTGCTCTGCGGTCTCATCATCCTGGTGATCTGCTTCATCCTCTCCTTCTTTGCCCTCTGTGGACCCCAAATGCTTGTCTTCCTGAGAGTGATTGGAGGCCTCCTGGCCTTGGCTGGTAAGACTGTGCGCCAGCAATTCTTCATTCCTATCTGCAGTGAACATCAACATAGTAATGTCCAAGCCACAGTGAAGATCCCTGACAACATAGTTCCTGATCTGCTCTCAGAAAATGTGTCCCCAAAGGCAGAAATAACAGAGGATGTGCTTTAAGATCCTGATCCCTTTCCTTTTCTGCCTGAGATAGCGTTCCAATTCCAGGCCACCCACCCAAGTGAGGAAGATTGTCACTCTACCTGCGGCTATCTCTCATAGATGACCTCGAGGCCCTGACACCGCTCCCCAAGGGGCCAGGGCTGTGTCGCCACTGGAAGGGCAGTCTCCATAGTGGTCTCAGACTGGCCTGCCATGAGCTGCATGCTTAGGGGACTGAAATGTCCCTGAACCATTGCACTTGGTGAAGAAGTTTTGCAGTCTTAGGATGTGGTGGATCATGGAAGGGTCCTCTGCAATTTAGATTTTGTAGAAATTGATCTAAACCACGTGATGAACCCAAATGGGTAAATAACTATATTTTACATGTATTATAGCACATATTGGAGAAGGAAATGGCAACCCACTCCAGTATTCTTGCCTGGAGAATCCCATGGACAGAGGAGCCTGGCGGGGTACAGTCCACCGGGTCGCAGAGTCGGACACGATCACATTAGAGAAAAATGCAGAGAAGTGTTCCTTTTGTGTAGGACACAACGATTTGCACTAAATGACAGGCTTAACCAGTGAAAGTTTGCTATTTTAAGTAGACAAGAAGCAGAGAAATGATGATCCGCACCAAGATTGCCCTTCATGAGTTGCCAAAGGAGAACATTTTAAGCTGGGAAACAGAAGCAACAAGTCAAGATATGGAAACATCTATAGCTTTTCTAGTAAAATGGAAAAACCAGCTTTTCTTAAAAAAAAAACAAAAACAGAAAACTAGTTAAGAATATATCTGTGGAGCTAGTAGAAAAAAATTAAGGTGAAAGCAAAGTGGTGGTAACTATCCACTCCTGGACATACTCCAGGAAGCACAGCCAACTAATTGGCCCCTCTGTGAAGAGCAGCGTCTGAGTGTCACAGAGCTAAAATTTGCTCATACCTTAAGTCATGGCAACGCACACATGAAATACTAAGTTAAAAAGCGCATGGCATAGCATTGTGTTCAGTCATGTCCGACTCTTTGCGACCCCATAACTGCAGCATGCTTAGCTTCCCTGTCCCTCACTATCTCCCGGAGTTTGCTCAAACTCATGTCCATTGAGTCAATGATGCCATCCAACCATCTCATCCTCTGTCATCCCCTTCTCCTCCTGCCTTCAGTCTTTTCCAGCATCAGGGTCTTTTGGCATAGCTTATGGCATAGCATAGCATGTGTATACTCATTAGTGCTTTATAGAATCATGCATGTTCATTGAAAAAGACTACAAAGTAAATCTAATAAAGCTCCTTTTATTTTTAAGCAATTTAAAATGTTAATGCATGATTAATAATGATTGTAACAATGTGACTTTTATATTAAGAGTTTAGAAGCCTCTTTGACATGTTTCCCTGCCTGTATCTGCCCTTTCACTTTTTCAAAGCACCGTGATTATTCTCTTCTTTTACTTGTATTCTTCTAGCCTGGAACACTTTTCTTCCTGCCCTCCATCTCTTCATTTCTATTTATTCTTCAAATTTCCCTTCCTCTGTAGGTTTTTCTACTGATTCTCCCATTGATCATTCATATCATTGGTTCATTGTTTCATTTAGTCATTCATTTATTGAATGAATATTCCAGTGGTATGTTATCAAATGTCAGTATTGAGTCCTAAGTCATGTGTGTGTGCACACACACGTGTATATATATATGTGTGTGTGTGTGTTTGTGTGTGTGTGTGTATAATTTTTTCTAACACTGACATATTAAATGTTTGGCACAAGAAATGCAAAGATGAGAAAAATAGGCTCTTCTCTACGCTCTTGCTTTCTATTGCATACCACAGTTCAGCAATTTTTACTTAAGTATATATAATGCTTACACAGGTACTATGGGATGATTCTCTAATAGTCTGCCTGTATTTCATATATTCAGTATTCTGCTCAGTACCAGGTATCTCTGACACAAAATATTCAACCATCTTTTTTGGCTCATGATTAACTAGATTCTCCCAGCCCCTTTTATCAGCATTATTTAGGTGGATTTAACACTTAATTTTATGGCAAAAATATTGAAGAAGAGGAATTAATCTGTTGCTACCATGCATTCATTCATTCATGCATTCATACTTTGAGAATTTTTTTCCTTCCTTTTAGCTGTGTTCCAGATCATCTCCCTGGTAATTTACCCTGTGAAGTACACTCAGACCTTTAACCTTCACCTCAACCCTGCTGTCACTTACATCTATAACTGGGCCTACGGCTTCGGGTGGGCGGCCACTATTATCCTGATCGGCTGTGCCTTCTTCTTCTGTTGCCTCCCCAACTACGAAGATGACCTGCTGGGCAATGCCAAGCCCAGGTACTTCTACACATCTGCCTAAGGTGGGGAATGAGCAGAAGAACATCACTGCTGCTGAGATAGATTCCAGAGAAAGAAACTGTTTTCCCCGAAATACTTTGAACCTGTTTTGGGGACAATATTCATATCATTAAACTATGGTCAAAATGCTAAAATAATCTGGGGAAAGTGTTTCTTAAATGGTGTTATAGTTTCATATTCATCTTTTATATATGTTTTGTAGTGTTAAGCAAGACTTACTTCTTTTAATTAGTTACCTAATTATTAAGGTGGCTAAAAAGTTCATTCAGGCTTGTCCATAAGATTGATGGGAAAACCTGAACTCACTTTTTGGCCAACTCAATACTAATATGCCAATGTTTCCTTGTATCTAACAATACCATTGATATTGCATTTGTAAAAGAATATGAGTATGAAAGTAACTACAAAATTTATAAGGTAAAATGAGAAGGCTTCAAAGACTTGAGTACTCTGGTTAGGTTTCTGTTTTTCCCAGATGGAATGGGTTGGGTCTATTAAGGACTGAGGAGAAGAAGATGATACTGGTAAAAATTGTCAGTGACTAAATATTCTAAAAGAAATGCAAAAAAAATTTTTTTCAAGCCTTTGGCTATTCAAAGAAGCAAAATTGGTTCCTACATGTATGTCATTTGTGAGAATTTCTAATGAATATCATGAATAATTGATTTGGGGCTAAGCTTTCCATTAACTTAATATGACATCTAGGAAAGTATTCTTTCATTGCCAAAACCTGTTGCAGTAGTAAGGCCTCCTTAAGCAGTGAAATCTTAAGATGAAATTTTCTCTTTTAAAGTGGTTCTTAGAGTGGGGGTGTGGTAGAAAGCTACTAGTAATTCTGTGCTCTTTGGTGTCTATATGCTCTAGACCAGAGTAGACTGGATTGAAAAATGGACTGGTCTAATTCATTATGACCTTTAAGTAGTATTAGGTTGTTCAGTAAAGCATTAGGAGGGCCATTCCCATCACAAAAGTAACAGTAAACAGCCTAAAGAGAAGACATGGCTTGAATTTTTCATCTTTGGCTTGATGGGTCTTTAATCATGTAGACACAGCTTCTGATAGATTGCAACTGTAAGCAAAAACTTAAATATGGTTCAAAACCTGGTTTCCCTTGGTAAACAGATTAAAAATATCTGATGTAAAACATTTAACAGGAGAATTCAGGAATGTGGGATTTCTCTGACTTGCAAATATGATATATCACATGGAATATTATTATTTTTTTACTATTGTACTTACATAATGAAAACCAATTCATTTTATATATCAAATTATTTTGTAAGTTGTAAAAATAGCAGTTGCAGTTTTATTATGAACTTTTCTCAATAAACCAGGTGATCTTATCTTGTTTCTAGCTTGCAGTTTTTTTGGTTTTGCTTCTCCCCTCATTCCCCCAAATCTGGGGGAAGGGAATTTGTAAAAGATGTTTTGAGTGGGGTAGTAAGAACATTGGATAAAGTGAAAAGTTGCTTTTATCATTTTCAAGTTTTAAGATGAACATAAAAAAGAAGAAACAACACAACTTTTGATGAACTTTAATGGATTCTAGTAGTTTACTCTCTAAACCACTTCCTCAATGACCAATATCCAGGACACCAATATCAAACAGTATTTATCCAGCGCTGCCATCAGAGGGAATGGACCAAGAGCTTCCTGGTAGGTCCAGACACCACGGAACATTAGTATGGTTTCGCTGGTGCTTTTCGCGTCTTCTGTGGCACAGCTTCCTGCTTGAGATGGAATCTTCTTCTATGCAGGTCATGGGACCACAAGCAGTCTCTTTATGTTTTTTCCTCTTGTCCATCTTCCATTTTCTGTTTGTTTTTTCCCCATGGTGGCTCACAGGTGAATTCTACTCTATTATATATAAATGTGAAGAAGGGTTTCCAAGTAGCAGGGTGGGAGGAGGAGGACATTTTTTCTTAGTGCTTCTGTCAGCCACTGGCAGGGACTTTTTCTTCTATGGTTTTCAAAGTTTAAGGTGATTGTTTCATAAATTTGACCATAAGACTACAAGAATTTGGTCTGGGTGATTCTTTACACCAAAATTTAAAAAAAATCTTTGACAAGGTTTGAAATGATCAAATTAACAATTTGATCCATTCACAAAGATAATGGATATCTAGAGATTCAGAAACTGGATCTCTCATTAGACATGAAAATGACTCAGATACATGTCCTCTCTAAAGCAAGCACTCTTGTCTTTGGATTTTGTTCCCACCCAGCTTCCTTCTTTCTCTCCTAAATAAGTAACACACTAGATCCTAGTGATGCACATTTAGGAAAAATTACAGCTTCCTGGAATCCATGGTCTGTACTAACAGACATGTCTGTGACAGAAGAAGCATCCTTACTTTACTTAAAATGTGCCACTTCTTTCAGCCTTGTTCCAGCATACAGACCCTCCATTCCTTCTTAGTTCACATTCATTAGGACAGAAACCTTTATGTCATAAACAGAGCAGGAGAATTCTAGGGAATTCCAGAGAGGAATAGAGAATTTGAGAAGCCATCTAAAGACTAAAAATGTACTGAATGAGATTTCCTATGATCAAGCTGAACTGGTTTCTGGCTCTGTAATTATTATACCGAGTCCCCACCCATTAAACAAGCAGTTCTAGGTTCCCAAACAATTATCTCATGCTCACATTAGAAGTAATCAGATATGCCAAGTGCCTTTTACCATTGACTGTAACAAAAGGGTAATGTGTCAAGGGCTTTCAGTTGATGCACAAGGTAACTATGGAGTGTAATTAGTTTTGGCTTCAAAATCATACACTGCAGGACTGACATTAAAATTTGATAGGTTTTCTTTTCTTAAGGGAATGAAAAGAATGGAACAATATAGTCATAATAACTTAGGTTGATTTTTTGCTACAAGCTCCTGCTGACAGTTCTGTTAATATAATAAACACAGATGCTGAATTGACTTGTTCTCCTAAGAATACCTGAAAAGGGCATGTTTTAGTTTCATCCCACATAACTTTGTTAGTTATGTTGGAATTTATAGCTTGAGTAGTTTACCACCCCTCATGCCTCAACCTCATCTGTAAGACTATTGCTATGATCCTTTTTATTTCAAAATTCTCTGATTCAGTGTGTTCGTATGTGTAGCTCCTCATTTGTTGATTTACTCAAATATTCTTGGGAAAAGGAAAAAGGGTTAAGTGATGCTATTTTTTGGTGTGTTTTTTTTCAAGTTGATTTTCATACTAGAGACAAATGATTAACATCTTCTTAATATTGTGATGGATTTTTTTTCTTTAATTGAAAATTAAAGAACATTTCTTCCATTGGAAGATCTACTAAATAAGTGCCTCTAGACTCTTATTATGAGCATAAGTGACCCTGAAGCCTAAAAGCAAATATTTATTTGTATTTCAGGGAGCTTCTGATTCAAGATGGTAGAATGAACTCTCTATTAAATAATCGCTTCTGACCAGGATAGAAAAAAAATGTAGAATAGTAAACAGGTGCCAGAGGGAATAAATCCATAATTAAAGAGGGATATGTAGCTGACCAGAGATTCTGTCAAATTTCTGGAAGATGGAAAATGAGTGACACTGTCAACATATCAGTGGAGCTGCCAGTCAGAACCAACTCAAGCTGCCTGTCAGGGAAGTAACATCTGTGCCGCTTAGAAGTGCCAAAGAAGTGCCAAGCTTGGTGTTGGCAAGGAAAAGTAGGACCAGGAGAGGAGGAGGGTGTAAATCAGGGGGATTAGTTAGAAGTCAGCCCCATGAGGAATTTGCCAGTTGGCTTGTCCCCTCTTCCCCCCACCAGGCTGCCACCTGAAACTTACAGAGTGGAAGAACCGGAGGATATGGTTACACTTCCTAACCAGCATCCTCTAAGTGCTTTGCATGTACTAACCCATATAAACCTGGCCTAGACCCTCTGATATGAACTTAATGATTTTAATTGTTCAGAGAGGAAATGGAAGCACAGGAATGTGAAATAATGTTTGCAAGGTCAGACACCTAGTAAATAACAACAGCAATAATAGATGCAAAACACACCATGTTGTGGTATTGTTTGGTGCATTAGAACACAGTACAGTAGATATTTGGGCTTCTCTTGTGGCTCAGCTGGTAAAGAATCTGCCTGCAATGCGGGAGACCTGGTTTTGATCCCTGGGTTGGGAAGATCGCCTGGAGAAGGGAAAGGCTAACCACTCCAGTATTCTGGCCTGGAGAATTCCATGGACTGTATAGTCCATGGGGTCCCAAAGAGTTGGACATAACTGAGTGACTTTCACTTTTCCAGTAGGTATTGATACTATGATGAGGATTTCAGGCTTCCCCCTTCGCCCATTGTGCGGTCTCTCAGCCCCTTTCATTCTCCATACTCCAGGAGGGTTCTGCTTTTCTGTGTGTTTTGGGGGACATGTTATAATGGAGAAGTATGGAGAGTGTAAAGGTCCCAGTGAGGGCTGGCTCTTCATAGAGAACTGGGGATGAGCGAGGCAGATGGAAATTCATGGCAAAGAGAAGAAAGGAATTAAAAACATCTCCCTGGTCGGTGTATCTCATGGTACCATGTTTGAGAAGCGGAGTTCACACTGTTGTTTTTGTGGTTGGATCGCACTTCTCTGTGCTTGGACCCTTACTTCATAAGTCATGATTTCATGAACATCACAGGTATGAGCCATTTTCCAAATCATTCCAGGGGTGTGGCTGACATTAGAGGGTCCCATCTGGATGGAGAGGGCATCGTAAAGAAAAACCCTTTTAATCTTTCTGAAGCACTAGTTTTTAGACTTTCTAAAATGTACTGCTTTTGAGATTACAGATTACTGGTCCTGAGGTACAATTTTTAAAAAGACAATAGAATCATCCATACACTGCATAGAATGTTGTGCATCTTCATTGTGTACAGGATACTCTGAAATATGTATTACAGAAAACATGGTGAACAAATGATAGTCACACAGAACAGAGTACATCAATAGTTTTTGTTATACTGTGGAATATTCGTCATCAGAAAAATAATTTTGACATCT